GAGTAAGGTTGCTACTTAACCTAAAAAAAAAAGGGAGGATATGGAATCATCCTAGGGATGGATACATGTCTTACAGAGCAGATTAAAAAAAAATACTCCCATAAAATGGAAACAATGCTTTGTAAATAAGAAGGGGAAGAGAATGGGGGAAAAAAGAGGAATCAAGATATATCATGTACAGGGCTGGGTATACAGCTCAGTGGTATACGTGCCTATCTGGCAAGCACAAGATCCTGAGTACAATTCCTGATACCCCCCCCCCAAAGTATCATGTACAGGTACAAATTCTTTATGATGAATGTGGTAATTACATATCTAAAATGCACCAATAAACTTAATTAAAAAAAAAAAAAAAAGAACTACCCCAAAGCTTAAAAGGACTCCTTTAATTCCTAGGAAAGGGCCTGGCCCACTTTTATGACTATGTACCCTATAGAGTGCATTGTGTAAACTTTTCTTAAGACTTTGAGTAACAGGCTATTATGGTAGGAAAAAAAATAATTCCAACTGTTTGTCTCTCTGCAGGCTGTATAGTACTGCTGCTCATGTCCTCTCCAATAGCCTCTAGGGAGTCCTAAAGTGGGAAGCTCTGCCCTATGAAAAAGTAACTTCTGACTGTACCAACCTAGTCCCAGCCCGAAACAGCCTCCCACCTTCCTTAAGAAGTCTTTAAAAAGCCATGTTAAGAAACAAGGAGGAAGGCTCCAAAGAGATCAAAAGAGGATTTGGGAAAGAAGGGAGAGAAAAGGCAAAGGACTGAAAATCATCAAGATATGATATGCATATGTATCAAACCCCCAACCTGAATATAATCATTATGTATGGCAAACTACTAATAAAACACTTCTTAAAAATAAAGTTAGGCCTATAAAAAACCACACACTATAAAAGAAGACAATGCAAGCTGGAAAGGAAACTTGTAGAGACCACAATCAACTGCAAAATATAGATCTTATTTGGCTGTGATTCAGATGAACTAATTAAAAAACTACTAAAAGACAATTTGGAGCCAGGCATGGTGGCACACACCTATAGGCTGAAGCAGGAGATTCGCTGCAAGTTTGAGGCCAGCCTACGCTATACAGTGAGTTCAAGGCCAGTGTCTCACTAGCAAGACTCTGTCTCAAAAACTGACAAAACTAAAGAAAAAGATAATTGTGAAAATTTAAAAACTAGACAGCTGATGACATTCAAGAATTTTTCAACTTTTTAAAGAAGTGTTTTTGACACATCCTAAACTTAATCATCAAATGATAGGATCAACTAGAATATACTTAGTAACAGATGACAGAAGGTTGATGCAGGAATGTGAAACAAGATAGTCACAGGTTGACAAGCCTTTAAACTGGGTGATGGCCACAGGTGCCCAAACGGCTCTCTTTCACAAGGTGTATGTGTATATATTGCTTGTGTTTATTATTTTTTTTCAATCCACCCTGAAATCTTCAAGGGATTTGATTTTTCCCAGAAGACTGAGTAAAAAGGTTGTTTTTCTCCTTCTTTTGGGAGTTTTTTTCATATCTGACCTTATGATTAAGGATAACACTCTAACCATCACTGTAAGAAAGACACCTAAACTCAGGCTTTACTAAATGAGAAAGAGGAGATGTACTGCCTGCTGTCTCCAAAGCTAGCATTCTGCCAGTAAGCAGGCATCCAGGAGGCAAACACCCTGCTCTTTGCGCAACTGGCAGGGACTTGCAGCATCGATTGCTCAGGATGCAGGCAGCCTGGAGCAAGGTGGGTCCCTGGTGAGCCACTGCTGAGTAACAGATGCTGGCAGCATAGCCTGTCTCACTCCTTCCCCCAATCAGATCTCTCCTTTCCCTAAAGCTTTTTTTTTTTCTGCGTCACAAACACAAAATGGAGTTAGCTGGAAGCAAAAGCAATCTGTCTAAAATGGCTGAATGCAGTAGGGAGTGCCAGGCAGTAAAGCAAAGGGAAAGGGCACCCCCTGCTGCCCAACAATGGGACCCCATCTTCCTATTCTCTCTACTGTACATATATTTCTAAATTAGTGAAGGTTAGTAATATAGAATCGTGATGTTTATTTTGGGAAACTAGTACATGCACATAACATAACTCGATCATTTTCAATCCTTTTCTGCCATATCTAAAGAAGCAATCCAAGAGTCCAGGTCAATTCTGTCATAATCCTTGATACCTACACTGAATTCTTAAATTTCAGGAGTAGATACTGAAGCTCAAGAAAGAAAAGTAATTTTTAGTATCTGAAGACACAATCAAGGCAACAACACAGAGCCCTGAGTCCCAGTTACTGTTTATGATTATGTTTATGTTATGATTATGTTATGATTAGTAACCATTTCCAAAAGCCCCCAAAAAGGAAAGGAGTTCTATAGAAGGGCATCCGCTGGCTTCAGTAATGTGAACCAGAGAGTCAGTCCCGTAGCTATATCCATCACTTCCTCAGGAATTCCTGTTGCAGGGTTCTCTCAATGAAAATGGCAAACAGGAAGTGGAGGAGTGGGGAGGTGCCTAACATCCTGGAAACAGTTCCTAATAATTGCAGTACGAGTACGTGGAATAGAAAAAATGACTGGGAAAATGCAATTGAGAATGGGACAGCTGAAAAGTCACTTATTCCCAGGGCCTGAAGACTGATGAGCTACAAAGCAACTCTACCCAACCTTACCTGTCCCTCTCACCGAGGACCAAATCTCAACTTGCTCGGCCCTCTTCTACCCGGAATGCCCTTTATAATCTTAATGCTACATCTCCCTTGAGTAGTCAAAGGCCTTATGACTAAAGGAGAAAGGTGGAAAAAATGGAAACACTTTGAAAAAGAAACTTTATCGAATGTACCTAAAGTGAGGTACCAGTACTACATATAAGAAATGAGCACAGACTCATCAAAAAATGTTTAAAAAAAAAAAGTAAGGTGGAGCTGGGGATCTAGCTCAGTGGTAGAGTACTTGTCCAGCATGTGTGAGGCCCTGGGTTTGATTCCCACCCCTACAGAAAATTTAAAATATAAAAAGTTTGGTGAACATTGATATCACTGTAGTTCTCTCTCAAACAAAGGTCTTTGCCAAAGAAACTTCATTTCCCAGGCACAACTGAAAAATTGGGATACTTAATAACAACCCCAAGAAATAACAACAAATTTCTGTGAGGGTAACACAGCTATGAAATGAACAAGTCTGACTAACATAAAATAAGCCATGTCTGTTAAGCTTTATATGAACGCTGATTTGGGAAAATCAAGATTAAATTGCTTAATCTATGCATTGTTCCAAATGGTTCTTTTCCCCGTGAAATGTATTTTTAAAAAATCAGGACATATTGATCACTGGTGAAAAGGAGGGGGCACTGTCAAGGTGGCCTGATCGTCTCCAGAGGCAGACATCTTAGGATTCCCAGAACCTGGGCTAATACAAGAAAACTATCCATATAGAGGATTTCTAGTTTATGTTTCTTATAACTGTAAACTTATATGAGGGGAAAATTCAGAGTTTTAATGTCAACTGTAAGAATATTCTACAGGAGGGAAAAATCAGCCCCCATGTCAAGAAGAGCAGTTATCCCTGCTCAGAGGTAACCAGATTCCCATTATCGACCTCTTGGCTAAAACACACATTCCTCATTTGCTAAATCCCACTGAAATAGACAGTCATGGATGGTTAAGCTATAAAAGGGGGAGGGAAAAATGGATATATAAATCACAAGAACAAAACCAGACAGAATTCTGAAGTTTTAAGAGTCAGGTACTAAGGGGCTGGGGATTTAGCTCAGCAACATAAGTTCCTGCCTTGCAAGTGTGAGCTCGTGAGTTTGATCCCTGGTACCGATAAAAAGGAAAAAGACCAAAAAAAAAAGTCAGGTACTGAAAGGATGGAGGATGTCTCAAAGGGTAACTGAGAAACAGTTTTAAAAATCCAGATGCTTTATGATGCTTTAGGTTAGACAGCCCAGGATAGTCACTGACTTTCTCACAGACACTTTCCCAGCACACCCAGGATGGTGACTCAACTAGGGAGCGTTAAGAAGAGATGGGTTTCTGAAATGTGGGTGGACAGGCACAAGAAAGATTAAGCACAACCCAAGGCGGGACTCAGGTGTGTCTGTGAGGGGACAGGACAGGCTTAAACAAGGTGAGATTAGGCTAGAAGGCAGGAGAAAAGATGACAAATAGAACAAAGTTATTTTTATTTCTCGAAAATATTCTATCATGGGAAAAATTAAAACATTAAAACCAGAATAAGACAATAAACTTGCCTGCATCCTTTACTCTGCCTCAACAATGATCACTTCATGGTTAGGATATTTTTGTTTCACCTATGCCTCACTACCCACTGCTAAATCCCAAATATTATATAATATCCCCCATATCTTTTTATAACTCTTTAAAGACCCACAATATCATTATCACATCAATTTTCAATTATCTCAAATGTCAACTGTTTTATATAGCTTGTCTGAATCAGGACTAAAATGAGGTTTACATACAGCACTGGTTAACCTATTTTTAAATTCTCTCCTAATACATATATTGCCTTCCGTATGATTCACCCTCAAATGTCTTTTTTTTTAATGAGGACACACTGATCATTGGGAAAGGAAGCCCTGGCACGGTGCATGCTGGTCTCAGGCAGGCATCGCGACCCTCGAACCGCTGCCTTTTCGAAAGCCACTCCCTTCACCAACATTCAGAGCTCTGCTGGTCTCAGCTCCGGCACAGTATTTACAAGCTACGAGATCTTAATTAGAAAAGGACATGTTTCTCTGCTATAAAATTAGGTTAATACTTAATAAGGCATTATAAAAGTGTTTAAGAACTAGAAATAATAGGTGATGCACCCCCATAAATCCAGTCTTACATATAGGCATGCGCAAGTAAAACAGAACGAGGAAGGCAAAGGACCTTCGTGTTTTTTTTTTCCGCCACTCCACAGCAATTTTAATCACTGCTGTCTCACCCACACTCACCTAAATACTGAGTTAATTGTAAATTTGTAAACCATCTCCTGTAACAAAGGTTTCTAGAAATACTCTCCATTTATTCAGGGTCAGGCAAGGAAGTAACAGGGTAACAAAGAGAACAGACGGAATAAACACCCAGCCCCCAGCCTGAGTCTGCAGAGACAGCTGCTGGGTTTCGTCACACTGCTGTTTTTTTCTCTTCTTTGTTCCTGAGGTGGAAGCCAGGAAAGGGTGGGGAAGTGGGGGGAGAAGGGGTGGAGAAGAGGGCAGGACCGCATCACAGTTACTGAAAGTCACCTGATCCTCTCCCCCAATCACTAGTCTCTGACCTCACAATCTGGAACCTGACCAAAACAGCTCAACTGCGCACACCCCGTGGCTGAAAAGAAAAATGCAAACAGAATCGGAAAATTGGGGCGTTCATCTTAAAAGAATTTTTGCAAGTTTCTTGCCAACATAAATGTAAATATGCACACATCTAATAAAATAGACTGGAAAGAAGAAATCATATAGTCTTAGAAAAGAATTGGAATTACTGTAGGATCAGGAGGAAAGAATGGCTCCATCCCACCTTGCAGAAATGGGGTTGCCAATGTATAATTGTGAGGCTTATAGAAAAATACAAAGATTTTTATATTGGAATCTCATTTCCCTTACAGTAGGCTAGGATCACTAGAGCAAAACTGAAGGGAAAAAATCTAACACTGTTAACAAAATATTATAGTAACTGTCACAAACCCTTCTTTTTACTTCTGCATTCTTTTATCTATAAAACACAATTGTATTAATAATATTCAAATTTTCTTCCTGCTTTCTCCATAAAAAAATCGTACCATGAATATTATTCTGTATTTCTCTACCGGTGATGGGCAAGAATTCTGAAACAAAAGTTACAGAATACCAAGTTCTAGAGCAATTAATCTCCAGAACAAAAATGGAGATGGAAGGAAGAAAAGAATGAAGTATGCCATCCTTTTCTTTTAAGGCTTCTTTTTCTTCTTTGGGGTAGAATATGTCCTAATTCTAGTGATACAAACTTTGGTCACTCCTTGAGTATGATGCTCCAACAATGGAGCTAGATCTGGAAGGCCCTGCACAAAATTTTTCAAGTCTCTCTTTTCCACACCATAATCACTGTAAGGTTCTAGTATGAGTTGCTATACCTTTATAAAATTGGTATAGTCAACCCTTCAGTCCATCATGACACAAAGAGAGCTTGCAAAGAGAACAAAAGGACATATGGGCAAACTAAGATGCACCAGATAAGGTGTGGTAATGTGGTTATTATTTCAAAAAAGGACAGATGACTTCATCACTGTATTTTTGTTTTCTCTTTGTGTTTATTATAAAAATAATATATGTTTTTTACACTTAAATACAAGGAGTATTTCCAGATGAAGAAGCAAAGTATAGAACAATACAAATAGTATGTATATCTTTTGGGAGAACAAGAATCAGAATTAGTACCTGCTTACGACTGCATTTTTAAAAAAAAACCCTGAGAGGATATTTAAGGAATTAATAAAATTGGTTTATCTCTAAAGGATGGGCGAAGGATGGACTGAATGAATAGTAGGGTCGGATTGAGTTTTCCTTTAATACTATTTTAACTACTGAACTACCTTCTTTACAGAAAAACATAGTGAAGCAAAATTAAAAGCCCCAGAAGGAACAGTCTGTGATGGAGACATCCCTAGTACTCCTCGCTGAGTGATTTGTCCAGTATCAGCAAAATAATCATTTCAAATCCAGTAATTCCCAAAGGGTACATGATCAAGGGCTCCTCAGAATAGTGCTTTTTCTTGACAGCAGCTCTGAACTGTAGCATTTAGCAAGGGAACTACATTCTACTGATCCCAAAGCCTAGTTTTACTGTTACATTTCCTGGAGAGCTCATGCCTACTCATGAACACATTTTTAGTCTCCAACTCCAGGGCTCTAGCCAAGAGAATAACCAAACTTGAGCGAAAGTTAGGTCTGCAGACCACAGCCCTCTCTATCCCGAATCATCCTCTTCCACTCAATTCATGCCATACAAGTCTAAGTTTAGTACAATACTTTCCCTACCTTCCATCCTCTACAGCATGGTCAGTCTCTAAGTTGTTCCCAGTTTCACTGATCCCAAAGAATTTCTCCAGACCTTCAAAAATGCCTACTAAGATGTGGCTGGGAAGATAGAAAAAAAGACTTTTATAAAAACAAGTTCTTCTGAAATAGTGCATCCAGAATGTTTGTAATCAACAGAAAATTTTGAACTATTCTCTGATTTCTATGACCTCCATTTAAAAAAAAAGAATAACACACATCTACTCTGTTGGAGATATCCAGACGTCGTTAAGAGAAGTGTAGGGAGTACCTTCTAGGCTAGTGGCGAGTAAGAAGAGCGTGCAAAAAATGGAAAAGAAATACCAAAGCAGAAGGATCAAGCCCTATTTGCATAATCATTACAAAATTAAACGGGGTACTTGTTAAAAATGTACCCTTCTACAATCCTCATGACTTATATCCTCTGGAGGTGAAGTCCTAGTGAAGTCCTCCAATTTAAACCTTTAAAATGCTTCTCACGTAATCCTTCTGTACACACTACACTTTGAGAATTAGTGGTACAAAGAGATATTTACATACAAAGAGGACAGAAGTTTAAGCAATACTGATCCTCCTACTAGATGGAGAATACATTTAAAAGACAATTAAACCTGAAATCATCAGAAAATGGGAGACGGCACCCTGAATTTAAAAGACGGAGTTTCAATTTATATATCTCTACGATAGAGCAATCCAAGTACATACCAAAGTGTGGATGCCTAGAAAGAGGTTCTAAAACAGCACTGAGATAATTAGGAGTTAACAAATTACAACATATAATTAGTGGCTAAGTTCTATCGTGTGTTTGAAGTTCTTCAAAAGAAGCTGGATAGAGATGTGATTATGAATGTGTTATAATGGGGTTTCAAACAAATATATAATAAGCTATCAAGCTAGTAAAACACAACTCTCTCTGTTAAGTCTTCTAAATAGGAGGCTATGATTTCATGAACCTATCAGACTAAAATCAAAAAATAAACAAAAAAAAAAACCATTCCCCAGCTTCTGGGCTCCCAAAGTAAACTAAGACTGCTCCTATAAGAATACTAGCTTAAGAAAAACAAAGCCATAACCTCTAAAAACTAACAGTGCTAGAATGAGATTCCTTTGAAAAAGGGCATTCACTAGCCTTCTGCTGTAATTTTACTGCAGTCAGTCCTCCAAATAAATCTCATGACAGATAGAGGGCAGTATTCTATGCAGTTTGTAAGGAAAAATATCAGAGTGCCTCTCTCCAACGTGATTATGTCACAGACTGCATCACTTCCCAACGTAACAATGACACATCTAAAATAGAAGCGATCCATGTGCCATCTGGTGGTGAAAAAGAGAACACACTACTACAGATAAATACTGTATCAGATTCCCCCAGTTTAGAAGGAATTAAAAGTTTAATTATTCTTATCAGATGATCCTTTCCCTTAAATCTTCACTACTCTTTTTTGGAAAGTACTTTAGTAATCTTCAAGCAAAAAATTTTAATTTTTTCCCTAGTTTAGCTTTATATTCCTAAAACATTTTGTTTTAACAGCTGATCCTAAGTGCACAGAGAAAGAGATTAAAATTTAGACTCAAACAAAGTAACAAAAGAACATAAAAACTTATCAAAAGTTTGGGGTGATAATATCAGATAATACCAAAGATAGCTACTACAGAGAGAAAAGGAATAGCAGAACCAGAAGTTCAGAACTGAAAGGTATCTGTGTTCATCTACTTCACGTTATGTGATACTATCAGTGATCAGTGTCCCCTAGCAGATATTACAATAAATAGTTTCTCATTTGTGGAAGAGTAAATTTGTATATCCTTACTCAGTGATTTGAGTCTAGAAACTTTATTAGGACATTACTGTGCAAAAACCTAAGTATGCAAAGATAAATGTAGCAGAAGGGTTCCTGCAACCATGCTTCTAATAAAAAAAATTGAAAACTTTTATTCAATGAGGCATTACTTAAAATTTAATTTGTATTATTTGTATGAAAATACAACTATCTACGCAATAGAAATAATGAAGCATACAAAATAAGTTTTAAAAAGTAGATCTATATGTAGTAACATTAAGAGATACTAAAGTATGTTATATAAAATGTAGAACAATATATACTATAAGAAGTCACGCAGATTTCCTTTTTAAAAATGTATGTGCCCTCTCATTTTTGGAATTTTATCTCTTACCTGCCTCGCCTTTTAATTTTCTACTAAGGGTCTGTGTGAAAATTTCTCAAAGTTTCTCCTCAAATAGAATAGTATACGCATACAAAAGACATGGTTAACTCATGGTCACTGCAGGAGAAAGAAAGGTCTTTTATTGTGTATTTTCAGCATATTTTATATATTTGCTAAAATGAAGGTATCACATTAGTCTAGGAATTGGCTTTAGACAGGATAAAGTTAATAGGGAAGACAGAGGAAGTGGGAAAAAGTAACAGTGAAAGTCTTGCAAGTTTTTCTAACTGCTTTAATTTTTTCAGTGAAGTACAAAGAAAATATCCCCATCAGAGAATGAGGATTAGGAGGTGTTGGGCCTCTGAGGAGAAAAAAAGATGTGTAGAAGAGTAAGACCCTGAATTGGGCATGGTGGTGAAAGCCTACAACCCCAGCACTTGGGAAGACGGTCCCAGGGTCAAAGCCAGCCTGCTATACAGTGAGCTCAAGGCCACCTTGAACCGCATAGAGACCTTGCGTCAAAAAACTAACAAGTAGGAAACTGAAATCTTAACTCTTTGAGAAATCTTAAAATATTATTGTCTAGCAATAAACAATGCCACCCACACACAGAGCAGAGGAGAACCTGGAGAAAAGCAGAGCCAGAAGGCAGAAGAAAAACAGCACTGGCGTTCTGAAGGCAAAGTGTATCAAGAAGGCCAGCTGTGGCCAGGGGTGTAGCTCAGAGGCATAAGCACCTGCCTGGCACCTGCGAGGCCCTGAGTTCAATTCCACTATAAAAAAAAAAGAAGGCGGCCAGCTACGTGCTTTGCTCCAGCCATGTTCAGAGTAGAACAGCTAGAGGTAGACGCAGGGCGGACTGAAAGAAAGATTTAACCAGGATGGTGGTTCTGCCAATCAAGTGGGAGAAGTAAGCGCAAGGTAAAGGGAAGCACAATACCAGAGAATTAACCATGGAATTTTAGGTGAGAAGAACCAAGTCACTAGTTAGGCGGGTGATAGAGAGACTGGAAGTCCTAGGAAGGGTGAAGAACTGTTGGGGGGCCGGACATTAAGAGTCAGATAAAAAGGGAGACAAACATAGGTGGTATGAAACAGACTGTGGAGGCCTGCAGTTCTCAGCAGTGACCACAGCAGGGAATGGGCAAGGTAGGATGGAGGACAAAACTAAGACAAGAACTGTTAGAACTGGTAGGACCCTAACCCTTTGGTATACAAATTGCTGAAAATTAAGTCATAGGTGTAATGGAAGAAACAAACAAACAAAAACATCACATGAGACAGCAAAAGGGAAAGTGTTCTGTAGAAGGTGAAGTTAACAGCACAGGTTTCCCTGGTAATAGCTCATTAATTCCAGAGGCACTAAGGACTGGTTTCCAGAGCTTAGTTGAGCTGGAAGGAGAAAGACCAGGAAATACACAAAACTTTTAGGGGACTGAAACAGGAGAAATAAGGGTCACCTGCACCATAAGTCAAGAAAATGGCATAACATTAGGTTCAGTGGAATCATGGCAGATGATGGCAAAACTGGATTGTCAGGAGCTTTTTTATACCACAGGTAATATGGAGATAATGATCCAGAAAACATGTGGTAGTTATTCCAGGAGCGGGTCTCTTTCTAATCCCAGATGACAAGGGCAAATTTATGATTTTAGATTAAAAGGGATGATTATCTGATCCCAAGAGCTTTGTGCTAACAGACTGACCCTTCATGAAACAAGTTAGATAATACCAACAAGTGCTAACCCTACACTGTGAAAGAAGTAAGGAACCGATGGAAAAGATTATACTTCTGCCAAGTGGCTCACTAGTCAGGAGGGGCAGGTTGAGTTCTTTTTTAAATTCTTGTTTCTACAAGCATCTACCAATATAAAAATTTTTTAAATTAGCAGATTTCACTATACAGTATTTATTAGAGTGGTTGGGTGGGTGCCACCTAGTGGACAACAGAGAAATCACAGAGAAAAGGGAAAACACCCTTATACTGTATCTTTGCTGAAGAGGGGATTATTCCCCACCACAGAATCCTATTAAAGCCTAAAGCCTCAACTAAGAAAATTATGCAACAGTGGCAAAGTAAAGTCCTTGATGCCAACAGTTCTAACTTCTGGGACAGCAAAAGCCTTAGAATCTGGACTCAATCAAATTCTAACTAGAATACTAGTACTATTTTAATAAAATCTTCAACTCTTGACCAAAATCTTACTTTTCACCAAGTTCTTTACATCTCTGCAATCAAACACTTGGAGAACTGTTCTGATGCTCACATTTCCCAAAATTTATCTTATACTTTATCAAATCCAGTGCTGCATGTGGTATGTTCCACATCTACTAAGCATGGATTTTAAATGTGATGGGTTCAGAAAGGTTTTGGAATGCAGGAATATACGTAAGAAAAAAAGAAGTTGCTCTATGTAGGTCATCATTATCATTCCCCATGCTATAGTTCAAGAGGTGACTTATTGTTTGTTTGTGTTTAAGACAGGGTCTCACTATGTGTTTCAGAGTGGCCTTGAACTTACTATGTAGCCTAGGCTGGTCTCAAACTCACAGCAAAATTTCTGCCTCAGCCTCCTGAATGCTGGAATTATAGGTGTGTGCCACCATATTCAGCAAGCGATGACAGTTTTAATGAACTCTCCAAGGCCACTATGGTCATAAAAAGCTCTTGGAGAAGATGAAATGTGACTACTGCACGTTTCTAAGGAATTAAAAAATAGAGTCAACACAGAGTATGTGATAAAAAAAAAAGACTCCTTTGCTGATCACTGTGAGGAAACTGAGAAAGTAAAAGGGGATTGGAAGTTTTATGGTACTGTCTATCACACCCAATTCAATAAATTCCCTGTCAGGGAATAAATTTACTCAGTAAGTAAGTTCTTGATTTGTAGGAAATAAAAGAGTTCGAAAACAAGAGACTAATTCTTTAAGGAGAAATAATGTGTTGGAGAATGTGCCACATAAATTCTAGGACCAGTTCCTGTCTCTTAGTTCTCCTCTTAGTAAAAAAAAGTACACAAATACGTGAATTTTTTTTTTTTTAAGACAAGACCTTGCTATGTAGTTCAGGCTGGCCTTGAACTCACTATATAGACCAAGTTGGCCTCAAACTCACAGTACTCCTCCTGTCTCAGCCTCCCAAGGGTTGGGATTACAGCCATGTGTCACAAAGCCTGAGACTATGCTTGAATGTTAACAAGAAGTTTATGGAGGCACCTTTGACTATGAAAGGCAGACATGTAGAGAGAGTTAAGTGTTTTCTTCAGTGCCCAAAGTCGGTATACAGGAGGTTTTAGATATTAACAAAACAAATGGGAAATAACAAGCAAGCATGTTTCACAATAGCAGAAAGCTGTGTTAGTACAAAAATAATGCAATATGATGAAAACCTAATGTCCGAGTAACTTCCTCATCAACACTGGGCAATTACTGAGTGGAAATCACCAAGCAGGGCTTCTACAGTACCTAATAATCATGTTGCATTTCTCCAACTAGATTAGTTTTGCTAAAAAATATACTATAATTAGAAAATACCTCTTCTATAACATTATATACCCAGTCTCTCATTTACTTCTGCTAGTCTAATGTTCCCTTTTTGTACTCTGAAGATACTTCCAAATCAAGGACACTTGTGCTTAAAGGAATGAAATGGCTGCTTAAGCCAATGAGGATGTTTTGTTTAGATTTAAGATTTCAGAGGCTCCTAGGGCAAGTATCTTTCCAGGGAATAAGAGGATACAGTAAATACTTGAAGTCAAAGTCTGGACACTACTTTCTATAGTGTCTTGAATAATTTTTAAAAACAAGAATAAAGCACTTCTTCTAAACTTGCATTATACATGTTTAAAGCACTGGAAGCAAAGTACTGAAGGATCTAAGTCCCTTGAGTCTCTACTTCTCAAATTTTGAGAATTTAAAAAATTCTGGACATGGTGGCTAATACCTATAATCCTGGCATCCTGGGAGGCAGGAGGACTGCACGTTCAAGCCCAGTCTGGCACCTCTGTGCGATCCTGACTCAAAATATTTAAAAACGAAGGGGAGGTGTGGCTCAGCACAAAGGCTCTGAGTTCATTCCCCGGTATAGAGTGGGTGGGCGGGGTGAGACACAGGACAGGACATACCTTTCCTATGCCTCGTACCTCAGTATTAGCGAAGTAGGGGCAGGAGGATCACAAGGTCAAGGCTGGTCTGAGCGATGGAGTGAGACTTGCTCAAAAACCACATTCCTTTCTTGATAAAAACATACATACATACATACATGTGCAAGCCAGCCAGTCAGCAGCCAGTCTGCGAATAGCCTGTGGTAGACAGAGTGCCTTAGTGGGTTCAATCACCAGTATCAGGGAGGAAAATGTCAAAGCACCAATTCTGTCTCCAAGAGAAGACACATTAAACAAGTCCCAACATTCAAATACATATGGCATCACTATTTTAATGAGCAGATAAAAAGAAAAGCAGAAAAATGTGAGGGAAAAAAAACAACACTGGAGTCAATAAAACACTGAAAATCCAAAGAAATAATTTTTTAAAAAAGGAAGTGCTTGTTCTCTGGAGCAAATTGAAAACACAGATGTTTATATAGTTGATGAGAAGCAGGATGGTTTTGTTGCATTTGGAGGCTGCAGAGAGTTAGGCAAACAATAAGTATTAATGACTGTATCTGACAGAAAAAACTCTCCCAGGAATTTTTCTACATGATAAAAATTTAGGACATACAAAAAAACACCCTTGACTTAGTCATTTAAGGGCACCTTCTCTACTCCTGAAAAGAGTAGGAAACTACGACAGCGTGAAAATGCAGTATCTGAATGGCCTAACTACAACTAAAGACCAGTTACAAATTTCCCTGGTAACAATAGCAATCTACCAAGAATCATTACTATTACAGGAAAATTAATACACAAAACTAAACAGATTCATACTTGTTCTTTTCTGATAGAAATTTCTGAGAATAATTTTTTCTTTTTTAAAGCCAAAATTGTTACAAGTTAGAACCTCAATGAGTAAGAAAGCAGTTTCCTGGGCAGAAACTGAGAACTGGTGGAGGATTAAATTTGGTTACATTGTTGAAAACAACAAAAGTTGAAATAAAGTCTTGCTGTTAAAATGCTGATAAAGAGGACATAATGCCAAGGAAGACTACTAAGCTCCAGAAAAGCCAGCTAAAATCAGTAGGAATAGAAACAAACAGGACAAAAAGATGGGAAAGAAAAGAGGCCCAGTTGGCGCACATTTGCAGTGGAACTCAGTGACCAGCCCAGGCACAAAACTGAAACTTATGCCAGAGCCTAACACAGGAATAGAGACTATTAATTTACATAATAGGAAACAATTTGATTTCTACTTTTACTGTTAACTAGTCTTTGTTGGTGTTTTAAACTAAGAAAGTGGAAGTAAATTCCTGTTCTATTAGATGACAGTTCTCAGAGGAAAAGGCCACTTTGCCCTAAGTGACAGGGCTATGAAACAGGTCTGAGCATCATGATCTTTCACTGCTAGAGACACACATGACTTGGGTAACCAAAGGTGCCTAGCAATCTATTAGACTATCAGAATAAAGTATAGCCTGGTTCCACCACATCACTTACATTTTCTATAAAAAACTGTCTTTTAAAACATTAATTTACTGGAGAAAGAAGGGGGAAAAATACTGTGAAGCGTACTTAATGTTCATCACTAGGGTCATAATAAATCTCTAATTGAACAACAATACTGTGAGATGATGGAAATATAAAATTATTAGGCTAGAATTATCATACAAGACAAGATCTTCCAAATAATGTATTTCTCAGAAGAAATAACTAGAAGTGCCCAACCACAAGAATTAGAAAGTGAAGCAAGGATAGCAAAGCAGATCAGCTCTTCTAAAATAAAGAGAAACATATGAAGGTAAAAAAGAAAACCAAGAATTTACATAGAAACCATGGACCAGAAGTCAGGATGCAGACATCTGGTAACGTACCCTGGGGAACACTATCTAACTATTCACTCTACAGAATGGACACAACACATACCTGACCTATCTCGTAAGGCTTCATGGCAGATCAAATAAAGCAGTAATATGTTAAAGCACGTTGAAAATTCTAATGGTATTATTAAGTTGTCCTTCACCTTCCAAAGAAAAAACTATGTGACAGTATTAATATAAAAAAACTTACTTCTTATTCAGGCCACACTATATAGCTACTGGCCCAAGCCATCAACTCTCAACCTTGGTCTCAGTTTTTTAAAAAGAAAATCCTATGCATTTATTTGATCTTTTTTCTCAATTATTCAAGAGGTGCAACTAAAAGAGTCTTCTGTATTCTTACCTTTGGAAGCTGCTGGAGCAAAGGGCCAGGAGGGAGACAGCATCAGACATTGGAAAGAAATAAAAGAAAGGAAAGGAATCACACATGGTTATTGGAGACAATCCCTCCAACCCTTGCTAATTAAGTTACTTGAGCCTAGAGATGACAACTTGAGGCAGTGCCAAAATCCACAAAATGGTATCATCAAAATGGCCCCAAACTGAGCTTGTGGCACTCTAATCTCATATTCCCACAGTCATAATTGACATAGAATACCCACATGGGATAATTCTCTTTCCCAACTCCAATAATCCCATAATACAAAAATATCTCTCTTCTATCCAACACTCCTGACCCCAACCCCTACATACAGAAGGGAAGAGGATGGGAAATCAAAAGGATATTCTAAGCCTTACACCAGACTTTGGCATTAAATAGGAAGTACTCACTCTTGGTCTGGGCAGAAAAGGTATTGGTGAGTTTGGCAAAAAGTTCATTGTTCTCATAACGATCTTCCTTCACCTTTGTCCAGAAGCAACCTTGGGAAAGATCCTCGGCCACAAACTGTGGATACAGGCAGATGGTTAAGAGTGACTAAGCCAAACCCAGTATACTTCTTTAAAAACTGATTAAGATGCAAAAGAGGCAACTGTCTGGTTACTAGTATTTTATCAGAGTCAGACTAAAGTAAGACAAACACCAGCTGCGAGTGGTGGTGCATACCAGTAATCCCAGAACTCAAGAGGCTGAAGCTTCAGGAGGATAGCTGTGAGTTCAAGGCCAGTCTGCACTACATAGCAAACTCAAGACTAGCCAGAACTGCACAGTGAGACCCTCTCCACACACACACACACACACACACACACACACACACACACACACACACACACACACATATACACACACACACAGAGACACCTATGTTTTCTGTGGTATGATCAGGAGAGGAGGCTGTCAGTTTCTTTACTGATGATTTAATCAAGAACTAGGTTCAATTATGCTTGTTGTCCTTCTTCTAACCCCAAATGAACTTTAGAAGATAAATGCTTTATTTTAACTGAGGTCTGGGTGCAAAAACTGATTCAGAACCTCAGACACATCAAGGGCATGTTTGTATGGACTTTGTAACACTCATCCTGGGAGGTGGGAGTCCATTAGCACAATTTGAATCATTTTCAGATTAGGAAAATGACTACTGTCAATCTATGTTTTACCATGGTATTTACCCTTAGGAAAACATTAACTTTAAAGTTGGGATAAGTTCAGAGTACAACACCCACAGAACTCTCCATGGTAATGTCAGAAATCCAAGAGGTGCTGAATAAACACAAGAGGAGAGGAACTTTGAAATGGACAGATAGTAAGCCACAAGAAGGGAAGCCTTCCATGCACAAAATACAAAGTAGGAAACTGACGTCATTTCTTAAGATCTATGATGGAGATGGACAGAAACTCTTACCTTGGACCAGTTTGGCCTCCGGAGTTGCACTTCTGGCTTATAAACTTTTTTAGGGGTTAATCCAAATGGCAGAACTGGGGCTGCAGGAACTCCAAATCCAAAAGGGGGAGGTGGAGGCATGCCCATTCCAGGTGGAGGTGGAGGAATGCCAGGACCTCCAGGAAATGGAGGGGGTGGAGGAATTCCAGGACCACCAGGAAGAGGGGGAGGGGGAGGTGGTACTCCTGTTCCTCCAGGCAAGGGAGGAGGTGGGGGAACACCAGCAACCCCAGGCAAAGGAGGTGGAGGGGGGATGGAAGTACTCCCAGGCAAGGGAGGGGGTGGGGGAACACCAGCGACCCCAGGCAAGGGAGGGGGTGGGGGGATGTAAGTACCTCCAGGTAAGGGTGGTGGGGGGGGGATGTCAGTACTCCCAGGGAAGGGAGGGGGTGGGGGAACAGCAGCAACCTCAGGTAAGGGCGGGGGTGGGGGAATGTCAGTACCAGCAGGCACAGAAGAGGGTGTGGGGATGCAAACATTCCCAGGGAAAGGAAGGGCAGATGGTGGAGGACTGGAAGCAGCTCCAGGAAGAGGAGGTGGGGGTGGGGGTGGGGGTGGGGGTGGAATAACAGTGCCAGAGGCACCAGGTGGAAGAGGGGCAGAGGGAGCAGTAGTACTACTAGGAACAGAAGGTGCTGTAGCCACAGCTGCAGCAGACAGAGAAGCTATTTCTTTCTTGGCATCTTCAAGTTCTTTTGACAGCTTGGCAACCTACAGAAACAACACTGTTATGAGTACATCCCACTCCAGGGACTACTGCGGTTGGAAGCAACCTGAGAAATCCTCAAGCCAAACTTCTCTTTCTACACATGGAGAGACTGAAAGGAGTTAGGCAGATCATGTGATTTGCCTAAAGTCCTATTACTATTTAGTGCCAGAGCAAGAACTGGAACACAAGTCTTCAAGTTCTTTCTTAGTTCATTATGCTTTGTATTTAAAAAGACAAGCTCAATCTCCGCATTATACTATTCATAAAGGTCAAGTAAATAAATTACTCTAGTTGTATAACTAACAATGTGCTATCTGGGTAATTATATAATCATGTAAGTGATCAGATTGTTGGATAACACATCATATAAACCTCAGTGCAGCAAGTGTAAGCAGATCTGTCAATAGATGACAACAATAAGAGAAAATTAGCAAATAAGTAAACAATTCAGTTTTACTCCTGTATTAGTAGCTTATTTTATTTAAAATGTAGCGAATAATTTCTTTGGTTTCCAGTATATTCTCGATGTCTTATGTATTAATTTACTTCCAAGGCAAAACTAAGAACAGTGATTTGTAAAATATGCTGCATCTCACTCGATTACCTACTACCCACCTCTCCAGGAGTGAGATGGCTGAGTGCTGTTCTAAGACACATGGCGAGGGTAGTTACAGGCACTCTGCCTCCCCTTCTCAGACAGTTACCTCTCCTGTGAGCTGGGACATCTCTGCTTCCAGGTCCTGTTTCTCTATGGCAATCTGTTGCTTTTCAGAATCCAGTGCATCCTTTTCTCCCTGAAGATTCTGAAGTTTCTGCTCAAAGTCACTTTCCATCTTCTTCATTTCCACTTGTAGCTCATGTCGGGCTGTTAACTCTGAGTCCAGCTAAAGAGAAAGAATCAGAATTCCAGCAAGCTCCATTCCAGTAAGATGTACAAGTGTTACTCCCTGAATTTATTATTTTGTGTCAAAATTTACTCTATAGATCCATATTTAGGCAGTGCCTCAGAAAAAAAGAGAACTATGATTTTGACCTTAAAATCAAAGTTAAAAGAGAACAAGATTCTTTTCATGGTCTTCCTACTTTAAAAAGAAGAGAAAAAAAACTAACACTAGAAACAGCTTTCAACTAGGACAGCAATGGTGGTACAATACCAGCACAGTCACTAGGATCAAAAATCTATCAACAACAATGAGAGTCCTTATTAATAACCAAAGAGAAAGAAAACCCAGACATATTCCCGTTCCTGTTGCTGTAGGGACGAGACATGAGACGACAAGCAAACATGGGTGGTGGTGGAGTGCCTCCACCATTCTATGAGTATTATATAAGAGTATCATTTGCCTTCCTTGTCCAGTCTGGTAACCCAATGACTGTATAAGCCCACCTATAACTCCTCACATGCACATCTGATGACTAACTTATGGTGAAAAGTTTTCCCCTAAGAACTATCAAATGTTGAGTGTTTTTGAAATACACAGACAAAAAGTCTTACGGAGATTAAACCCAGGGTATAGGCAACTACTGTGAAGGCAATAAGATTCACTAAGATGCCCATTCTGGTTTGACTATTGTCTCCTTTGGAAGTCCTGTAATGTTTACAATGCTTAAGTTTTATTGGTCTTGTTCTCTACTGTTTTGTTCAACTTTATAATATCTAATGAGATAGACAATTCTTTTTAAGAAAACAAGGGACATTGTTGATAACCATTGTTGATAACCTTGTACTCTGTTTTACATCATGTGCTATGTCTATCCTTGGTTTTGACTGACAGCTTTGTTTTGCCATATTTGACTTTATTCTCCCCCCCCCCAAAAAGTAATAAGAACTAAGGAGTAATAAAACTCAAAATGTGTAAATTTTGTTGTAAAAAAGAGAGGGGAAAAAAAGTGCTCTAAAGGATACAACAGCAAGTGTGTTTAGGGGTGTTAAATAGCTGACCATATTAATGTTTTTGGTTGGATCATTGAACACAACTGTTTGCAGTCTCACTGTTTGAATGTCCACTTTGTATGCTTTGATACTATGATTTGAGCAACTATCTCTAAGATGATAATATGTAATCTATTAACTGGTGATTTCTTATTTTTTTTTTTTTTTTTTTTGTAGTTCTGTATTACTTGTACCCTTATACCGCTTTGTTTTGTTTTGTTTTTTCTCTTTTTCCTTTTAAATAAAATTAAAAAAAAAAAGATTAAGCCCAGGGCCTCGTGCATGCTAGGTGAGTACCTAATCACTGATTCCTCATACACACCTTTTTTTCCAGCTCTGTAGCTTTGGCTTCAGATTTCTCCACCTTTGTTTTATCAATCATTTGATCTGGAAAAAAAAAAGTAAGTGAAGTTACCAGTTTTCTTAGTCTTCCCTCTTGCTGCTAAGCCCTTCAATATACTGAACAGTTTTCTGTCTTTGTAGTTATTTACATTATTCTTAATATTCTGCACTAGACCAAGACACAGAACTTTCAGTTAAGTTTAACTTGTAATTTCTAAATACCAGGTAGGGCTACTACATTGGGCAGCATTAATAGAATAATACTTATGACTCTCTGGGGCCAGCATGAGTCACAAATACAAGCATTCCTTACTTATGGACTGGGTTCTGTTACTAAACTAGGTCATTAATTGAATTGGTGGACAAATAAGGAATTGAATATAGTATATACATCACAATATTCAGAACAAAGAAATGATCAAAGGGAGCCCCAACTTGATGAGTTTTCTTTTATTTGCATAACTCTTAAAGTACTATAATGTATAACAGAATATAAAACTATAATACTATACAGTACAATCAGCAAAAACCATGGTACTGTATAAACAAAGTATACTGTATAAAAAAAGAAAATAAAGACACTGAGACTCTATAAACAAGACGCACAGAATTATACAAAAAAAAAAAGAATGGGTCCTAAGTCCAAAGAGCACACCTGGTTGAATCTGAACAGTCATCAAACAAGTAGGTCATTGAAAGGAATATCTATAATAACTGAAGTTCCTACCAGGAGGTGGCACGTGAGGAAGAACAATTTTTAGATTTAAATAGAAATAAACTAAGAGACTATATATCCTATATTGGGGACTGGAAATATTTCTTTTAGATTTCTGTAGACATAAACTAAAGGACTATATATGCCTGTATCTAGAACTAGAAAGGATACAGCCCTTTAGTGAAAGAAGCAATAAACATTTTGAGAAAGCCAATGGAGAGTGTGGGATTACCAATCAATCCTTCAATATCAATCTGGAGGTGCCGGCACTTGAAGTCTGGATCAGCCCCATTCTTGTGAAGAACTATCTGGGAAATACATTCCTCAATCAACTTATAGTACTGGGGTCTATGGAAAAAGCAAAATAGAATTATCAAAACATAAGAGGTATTAAGAATCAAGAAAATTTAACTGCTTTGCCAATAAAGAAATTTAAGGATAAGTGTTCTGGAAAAGAACTTTTTGTAAATTTAACAGAAGTACCACTGTCATGCTAAGAAATTCTACATCCTCCCCATTTTCTACTTCCAATTGAAGAGACGAAGAAAGCTCGTTCCATCTGCTGCTTCCCCTCCCCTTCTCCCTTCAAATCCAACTAGGTTAAGTTTTAACTTCCTAAAGGCCATAAAACAAAGGCCTGAGGTACTAGCTCCTGACATCCTGGGTCTTCCCTATCTGGTAGCCCCGTCACAAATTGTGTTAATTGCATCAGATTGTATTAGATTGTACATTCTTCACAGAAATAGCTTCGTTTATATCATAGTAATACCTGTAACTGTAAATGTGTGTCTTCCTTTTTCCCTGGGTAAAAGATTGATATGTTAATCAATGCTCTCTTCTGTAAAGAATTGTAAAATCTTACCCAATTGATATGTTAACCATTGTTGCCCTCTACAAATAGAAAGGTTGTGGTGCTAAAGTAAGGTAATTATGTCAGGAAACTCAGAGATAAAGTCTGCTGACTATGCTAATCAAGATTGGGAAGTATGTCAGAACCAAGCCACACAAGAGCTAGGTGACCTAAAAATAAGCTGTGCAAAACAAGACAGTTAATCAACTCTGACCCACTGGTCGCCCCTCATGATCTGACCAATCACAAATGGACAAATCACCAACTGTTCTGCTCTAACTGCTATGATTGGCTTCTGTAACAATGCTTGCTTGCTTTGCGGTTTTCATCCTTAAAAACACCAGCCTTGCCCCAACTCAGGGTTCTCCGTTTCCACCTGTTTGGAGGACCCCGTGTACACGAAATAATAAAAACCCCATTGTTTTTACATGAGAGCGAGGCCCTTGGAGTCTTCCTCGCGACACCGGTCTAACACAATAATTAGAAATTCTTATGAGCTGGAGATGCAGATCATTGGTACAGCACGTGCTTAGCTTGTGTGAGGCCTCTGGTTCAATCCCTAGCACTGCCACAAAACAAAAAAAATTTTGCCATCTGCTTCCTATGATCAATACTTTCCCATCTAAATATCTGGGCTTGATATTTCCTATGATGGATAGTGCTCCTGCTGAATCTCCACTTTTCAGGCAAGCAGAAGGGACTTTAAATTTTCATTACCCTTTGTTATCATCTTCACCTCACCTACCTACTCCCTTTTGGGAAGGGCTTTTCACGATACACTTTGACCTCTTCCATAGGGACACCTATCAGTGGGATTAAAAGAACAAAGGACAATTTCCTTTGTATCTGTAACTAATGAACTCTAATCTATGGCCTTGGCCTTTTCTTTTTCCCTTTATAAAGAACAATTTAAGGATTCTGCTGTCTTCATTCATATAGGCTCAAATTCAAAGTTTCAAAGGCTTGCTGTCTTCTTACCTGGCTTCATAGTCATTTCGGACCAAGAGCAGGTGCTGAAGGATAGACAGGAAGTGTGGCTCTGCCTTTGAGTCCTTCACGGTGTTTAAGAGAATCTGGAAGACTTCACTAAAGTCAGTGGAAAGAGGGCCAGGCTAAGGAAAAACAATGCTTAGAAACAGTGTGTGATTGACGATTTGCTGAACTCAGGAAGAAGGCAAGGAAACTCTCCACTCTCACCGTTATTCCTCCATAAACATCAGCAGAAACTAAGTTTAGCCAAAGGTGAGACAAAGGATTCCTACCACTTAGCTTAAAGATAAGCGGTACACAGAAACTAAAAATATAACTGTCTCAAAGTCACATGTGGTGAATACTAATAGGTAACCATATCAGTCCCTCTGTTAGTCCAGTCAACTCTAAATCCAGCTCTACATCACGGTAAACTGAACTATCACATTCCAGGAAGTTTATGTCAGTTTTGATAGATACCTCAGATTATACTTAGCAACTTCCCTGGTCAGTGATGAGGTGAATAAAGCCAAAAAAAAGACACCTGCTTTTCTTACTGGGAAGACACATAAGCACATGGCTCTGTTCTGAGTCACTATCTCCCACACCATTCCATACAGGAGACTGTAACCAAGTGTAATGAGTGCCTCATCTGTCTTACACTTGGTCAGTAAAAAGGATATTCCATCTCCATGCGAATGTCATCCAGCCGACTCCTTAAGTCATAGGAATCTTCTTCTGAGTGTTCATTAAACACACTTAACTGCACTTTCATATCATCATTTTCAATCTCTCGAAGGTCCTATCAATGACCAAAGTAAAATTTAGGGGACCCAAAGTGTCTTACATTGCTAGAAACATCTTTCAATATGGTTTTTATACTGCAAACTAGTTATCCCAGGGATGACTGGGTTAATAAGAACCGGAAGGAACAGGCCGGACTGTCTAATGGAGTGTTACTGCTCACCTGCAATATCTGATGCAGCCCCAAGCGCATCAGTTCACTTCTGATGTGAACTCGGAAGTCAAGTTCTTCAGCTGGAGTGATGAGTGCATTGATCAGCTGCAGGCATCCCACCTAAAAGAAGGAAATTCCACAGCTGCATCAATACTAACTCTACAGATGAAGATTCCATTCTCTTTATATGCATTCTGTAGCTCCCAAATGAAACCAAAAGGTAACAGCACAAAAACTATAGGAATGATTTATCTACTACAGCAATGAGGCCTGATTTGACCACAGGTCTAGAGAGATTGTAAGTGTAAATGATTCCAAAAATCTGACAGTATATATTATTGGATAGCCTTGGTTTCCTAACATGCAGATAGATACCATGCTTTTTTCCATTTCATAGTGAAAAAAACATTTCATTCTTTTCCTTAAAAAAAGTTCTGTCATTTTTTCCTTCACAACAAATTCTCAAATCTAAAGTAAACAATTTGGAACCACACCATATGTTCTATTAGAAGGCTATCGGTTCTTTCCTTCCTCAATTCTATTTATGGGTCCAGTTTTGAGGAACACACGTGCCTTGACTGCAATGGAGGTCCCACTTTTTAATCCATCCAACAAAGGCTGGAAACGTTCTGCTTCATCCATCTCAGCTCTTTCTGTCATTGCCTCCAAAACACGTTCATTCCTGCCCAAGAAAAAAGAAAAAGGAGGGTACTGCCAGGTGCTCTGACAGCCATGTATAATAGGTAGGTTACACAGGGCACTGACCAGTTGGGGACAGTAAAATTGTTTCTCTTTTCTTTTCTTTTCTGCTTTTGTGAAACAAGTTCTCACTGTATTGCCCAGGCTAACTTCAAACTTACAGTGATACTCCTGCCTCAGCCTCCCAAGAGCAAGTGCTGAGATTACAGGCACGTACCGCCTTTCCCGGCTAGGAAACAGTGTATTGTCAATGCTTTGGATTTTTCAAATTATTCTCTTACCACCTCTCTAACAGAAGCCAGAATTTATAAAAAGCTATCGACCATCTCTTCAAAAAAATGTATTTCTAAAAGCCATTTTTAGAGTCCTACCTATGGATATTAAGTTAAAATCTCTATGCTAAGCCAGGTGCGGTGGCACACGCCTGTAATCCTAGCACTCAGGAGGCTGTGGCGGGAGTCTGTGAGTTCCAGGCCAGCCTGGGCTACAAAGTCAGTGCAAGGTCAGCCTGAACCGTATAGTGAAACCCTGCCTAAAAAAAACAAAAACCCTATGCTAAAAAATAAATTGGTTCAACTTTTTGAGAGGTATTTAATATACCGATTTCTAATGCATGTAACACTTGGTTTCTAGTAATCTATTTTAAAATATATAAAGGTGAAAGCAGATATGTTACAGAGATGTCTGTTACAGCATTTGTAATACCAAAAACTCTTATGATCTAGAGCAAGAGCCAACCAAGATCTGCTAAAGTCTACATAGAAGTCTAGCAATGTAGAAATTGTTAAGTGTACTATGGATCTATAATACACAAACATAAATTAAATTCTAAATAGTCACTAAAGACAATGAAGTGGTCAATCTCTAAAGACAGAAATCTCTAAAGACAGGAAAAAAAATACCTACGTGCTATTAAATGAAAAAAAAAAAAAAAAAAACTGAAAAGAATGAATGATACAGCTGTGCATGGTGGCATACACCTGTACTTCCAGCACTCAAGACACGTAAGGAGGAACACTGCAAGTTCAAGGGCAGCCTGGGCTACACAGTAGGTTCAAGCCCATCCTAAACCACACAGGGAGATATTGTCTTAAAAAAACAAACAATCAAAAACAGGCCAGGTGTAGTGGTGCATGCCTATAATCAAGAGGCTGAGGCTGGAGGATCAGCCCACTACAAATGAGTTTAAGGCCAGCCTAAAATGCAGAGCTAAACTGTTTCAAAAAGACAAAAACAAAAACCCAAAAAAGGAATAAATGATATGATTCAGCTTCTTAAACCAGACCCCTCCACAAAAATAAAAATCTATCTTGAACATGCAGTTGGCTTTCCATCATTTCTTATCTTTAATAAATACTATCTTTTGGGGTGGCAGGAGATATCTTAGAAGCAAAGAAACACAGTGTTTGTTCTTATCTATCTAGACTCTATCAGGTCACTAATAGTGGTCATCTCTGTGCAACAGGATTTGACAAAGGCAGCTAAATTTTATTGTATTTTTACACTGTTTGAATTTTAGTGACAATGTTGTATTACTTGTGAATTAAAAAACAAAACAGTGAAAGAAAGTCTTATCCTAGACAAAAGCAACATCAACATAGATGCAGCAAATATCCTGTTATAACTAGATTGATCAGTAGTACACTGAGGATAGTCCCCCTCACTAGGAATTTTTCTGAAATATAAGCTTACTATCTCTCACCCAAAATGCTTGATACCATGTTTCAAATCGCCCATTTTATTGGATTTTGGAATATTTGCATACACATAATGAGTTATCATGAGGATAAGATGCAAACCTAAACACAAATCATTTCGGTTTCAGCTAGACCTTACACATAGTGTAAAAGTAATTCATATATTTTAAATAATTTTGTGCGTAAAGCAAAGTTTCGTGGTATGGAGCTTTCCACTTGGGCCATCATGATGGTGCTGAAAAAGTTTCACAGTTTGGAGTATTTAAGACTTTTGGGGCCAGGGATTTAGCTGAGCGGCACAAACACCTGCCTGGCAAGCTTCCGTCCTGAGTTTGATCCCTAGTGCCAAAAAAAAAAAAGACTTCTGGATTAGGGGTGCTACTTTGTATCAAGATTCCCAGTGGTCTTACCTAATACTTAAGATCAAGAGGACATAAGTAACTCAATCTTCTAAACTAAGACAAGATGGTAAGAATGAGAATTGAGGGCTGAGGATTTAACTCAGCAGCACAAGTGCCTGCCTTGCAAGTGCATAGTCGTGAGTTCGATCTCCGATACCAAAAAAGAAAAAAAAAAAAGAATGAGAATTGGAGAAGAGAAATAACTAGTCACATACATGTCCTCTGGCTGTGGTAGAATACAGAGAGCAGAAAGCAGCTTAGCTGCATCAATCATCATGTTGGGAACTGCGGGATCCATGGCTCTGACCAACAGAAGGATTCCTTCTTCTGCCTCCAACATGGTCTTGATTCCAAACTGTTAGAATGAGAATAGAGAAGAGAGGTTTAAAGATGACAACATCTAACCAGAGACAAGTTTATAGGTTTTTATAGCTTGCTCGGTACACTTCTCAAATTCATGTTATAGCTTAACCCCCAGCCCTTGGAAGGTGAACTTATTTGGAAATATAGTCATTGTAGGTGTGATTAGTTAAGTTACAATGAATTTACACTGGCATGCCAGTGAGGTCCCAGAAACTAGAACAGAGACATGTAACACATTCTTTTGCACAGCCTTTAGAACCAACTCTGCTTACACTTACTAAGACTTCTCTTGAACTTATACTCTGCAGAAACAGGAAACAATAATTTCTGGTGTTTCAGACACCTGGTTTGTGGTACTCTACTCTAATATAGAGGTAGAATAGTTTTCTCGATACAGATAAACAAAGATGAACATAGCAAAATAAATTTTTTTTCTTTCTCGTTTTTATCGGTACCAGGGATCGAACTCATGACCGCACACTTGCAAGGAAGGCGCTTATGCCACTGAGCTAAATCCCCAGCCCCGCAAAATAATTTTCTAGAAGACAAAATAAAATTCTACATCCTCAAAAATAAAAATCTTTTTTATGTTTCTTTTTAATATGTCCCCCAAGTCAATGGATTAAGTTAATTATAATGAAATTAAACAGTGAAGAAGGTAAATTTGTACTCAAAGGCATAGAATTATGGGATCCCTGGGTTTAAATAATAAACAGACCAAAAAAAAATAAAGATGAAAAGATTCTAAAGGAGTAACAGTCAGGAAGGATAAAAGTAAGTAGGGAATATAGTTAGCTTCCCCAAAATACTATCTGCAGGTCAGGAAATTAAAAAATCAGCAAAAGCATATAAAGAAAAGGAAAGAAAATTAAGCCTACTATTGGAAACAGAAGTTACAACTAGGGAAAAAGGCCTGTGCAAGTCCACACATGAGGCAATGAGAATAAATACAGCACTAAAAAGCAAAGCTAAATGTCTTGAGCTCTTACTTGCATTTCCTTTTTGGAGTCTGCCAATTAAAAAAAGGGAATCTAGAGAGGGACTAGAATGAAAATGGTAAAATTTCACCTTGTTGTTCATAAAAGCTTTCAAGCAGCGAATAATCTCATGCTGGTTCCGGCTATCATAGCTTCTACAAGAAAAAGACATAATTAGTAAGGTCCCTTTATTCTACACCCCCTTCTCAGCTGACTTTTCAATCTTGCAAACAAGGATCTTAGGAAGGCCACCAACTAGTAGCTGAATAAAAGCCAACCCTAATACATAGTGCTTGACTTAGAAACAGTGACCAAAAAAAAAAAAAAAAAAAAAAAATACTGATGAGGAGTCCCCACCATCAAAGACTTTGATTAACCCTCCTGTAATCAAATAATTTAGTATTACATTAAAACTTGACCTTTAATTTCCTCTAGGTGTTAAATTCCATTAGAGTAACACTCTATTATTGTTTGCTATTAAATTTGAGATAGTACATGCAGGAGGCCCAAGCCCTCTAATGTTCTTGACTCAGAGAGTCTAGGAAGTAGAGGAAGTCACCCTGTCTCAGCCTACTTTCCAGATAACCTAAGTATGAGGTATTCCCAGAATTATTCCAATTCTGAGGACTGTAGCAGAAACAGTACCAAACTGATTAAGTATATTCTAAGACTTTCACATGTGATTTAGCCCACACTAGATCATCTGACAGCTCTGCTTAAATCAGATCCTATTTCCAGGCTGATACAGAAGCTAGAAGATTAATCTACCATGAAATCTAAGCTCCTCCTCCCTTTCTTGTGTCTATAATAATCATTCACTCTCTGGTCACCCTAACATAAGCCCCATTCTCAGCCAACAACATACTCCCCTACTTTGTCACTTTGCATTTAATCGAGTTGTTCTGATTTATTTATTTATTTATTTAGGAGACGGCATCTCACTATATATTCCGCACTGGCCTCAAACTCAGTGATCTTCCTGCCTCAGCTTCCTCATGAGTGCTGAGATTACAGGTGTAAGTCACCATGCCTGACTATATTTACCTGTTAGTATTTCTGTTACAGCAAAGAGTAAAGCCCCTACGACCCTTCACCTAGAAAATGCAAAGATCTGGAATTTCTCACCCTGGACTGTCTTCTTTTTCATCATGAAGTCGTTTGAGAATGTCTAATAAAGAAGCCAGGCCTTCAGCACCAAATGTTTGTACCCAACTGTAAGGAACAGAGAAACAGTTTTATATCACATCAATAATTATTGTTTGTTCATGAATATAGTTTATCCTGGCAACGCTATTCCCAATCCAGATCATTTTCATGTTTCCCTGGCTCCTTTGATCTTCAATCACCACTGAACTCTAACAGTGGATTCCTACTTATGTTACTTCCTTGGAGTCCTCACCTGACAGGGTTGTTGTTGAGAGAGACACGAAGGGACTCTAGGCAGTTGAGCAGAGACACATCCCGCAAGCCTGATCTCAACTCCTGAATGTACATCATGGCAGACCTGGAACTCTCCTTTTGGCTCATGCCCTACACAGGAAACATGTAGAAAGATTAGTAAACATTAGGTTTAGTCACAAACTAGGAGCTAGTAATTTAAAAAATTTTAAAACATACATATACATACATACATATAAATTTTTTTTTTTTTGGACACAGGGTTTTGCTGTATAATTCTCACTTTGCAGCCCAGGTTGGCCCTAAACTTGAGGCACTCCTCCTGCCTGAGCCTCTCAAGTGGATTACAGGCATGTACCACCAAAGCCCAGATAATAGTTTAAATAATATCAGGGCAGAAATCCATTGTAAAGCCCATCGAACTATATGAGACTCAAAAGTGCTCATCTCATTCCCCATTTACCAAAAAAGTATGTAAGAATGGTAACTCAGAATAGAAAATTGGTAAGCTACAGTAATGAAATGAAACAGAATCAATGTAGACAGAACGTATTATATAGAGTTGACTAAATAGACACGTTCAAGTTAAGAGCACAGATTCCCACATCAAGGGTACCTGCCCCAGGACTCACAGCCTTGGAAGTGTGTAAGTACTGGGACACCATCTCCCTCTTGATAACAATGTCCTTCTCTCTCAAAGGCTGTTGTTTCTCCTCATTCAGATTCATATCCAGCTAGCAGACAAAGGGGGAAAAAAAGAAAGGAAAAATTACCTTGAATTTCTTAAAAATTTTTAGTGTTTTTTATAGAGTACTTAGTGATAAATTGAGTACAGTAAACAATTAATGAATAGATATTTTATTGATTCCTAAAGATTTAAACTATTATAACTAACCAAAAATCCTCAGGGATAAAGCTCAGCAGCACAGTGCCTGCCTGGCAAGTGCAAGGTCATGAGTTTGATTCCCAGTATCAAAAAAAAAAAAAAAAAAAAAAAAATCCCCGTGGACACTGTGTGTGTGTATGTTTATGTGTGTACATCTACATGCACACATACTTCTAAGGATTGAACCCAGGGGTTCATGCTAACCATACACTTTACCACTGAGCTATTTTTCATCAGTCCACTATAGATAACTTTTATACATATATATGCTTAAAAACTGACAATATAAATGAACAATTTCTTCTGTATTAATGAAAGAAAATTACGTGTAATGTTTTTGTTTTGCAACACTGGAAATTGAAGCCAGAGAATGGTGAGCTATATCACCAACCCTTTTTACTATAAGACAAGGTCTTCTAAATTGCTCAGACTGGACTTGAACTTATGGTCCTACTGCCTTAGTCTCCTAGGTGGCTGGAATTATGGGCATCTACCATCACATACAGCTTACACAGTATTTTTTTGCTTTGAGGATGGATCATAAATATCTCTTCAGACTGAAGGACTGGGTAACTGGTATCATCCAAACACCAGTAAAATTTGCAACAACTCAAGGCCCTAACCACATTTGTTTTGTTTTGTTTTGTTTTTAAATCTCAGCATGTTCTCAGTGTTTTTCACTGAGGTCAACAAAGTCACATACCAGTATACTTGATTATTCAACTGATTTAAGACACAATATTTAACAGTCTTCCAGTGATTTAGCATCAGCATTCTTGTTTTTAGATTCACTGCTAAGTAGACGACCTTGGGGAAATGCCTGTTTCTCAGTTTCTTCTTCACACTTACAGAATTCACTGTGTATGCTTTATCATTTCACCTGCTCTAGTTTAACTCAAAGGTGATTTCCAGACTACTGTAAGAATTGGTCTCACTCATAACACATTTCTGTGACTAAAGTATTGCTGTACAGAAGAACATTAACAAGGTTATCATTTATCAAATGTTTGCAAGCTTCATAGATTCCAACCCTGTGGATTGATACTTCTAATGTAGTCCCTTATTTAATAGGATCAATATTTAAAGTTTCACATTAAGCCAAGAATTGTTTTTAATAAAGGGCTAGTGAAGGGGAACCATGCATTTTAAAAAAAAAAGTGGCCAAAGCATCATGCTTATGAATGCATTTTCAGAAACAAACTACATTTTGGGGTGGGAAACTTACCAACATCTGTTCAAAGAGAGCTAAAACTTGCTCATCTGAAATATCTTGCAGCGACTGTGCTGTGGGATCATCCCCATACGATGTGGAAGAATTTCTATGAGCAGAATTGGGCTTTTCTTTCTCCTTCTTAATTCTCATGCTGGTAAATCTCTCCAGCTGTGAAAGAAAAAAAGTATTAGCTATGACCTATTTTTATTTACAAAACAAACTCAGATCAAATAACCAATGTTTTGACCTCATGAATGCATGTTCCTTTGGTTCAAGACTCTTCGAACATGAAATAAGAGATCAGTCTTCCACATATCTAATTTAGCATGCTGACTTTATACTTTAATATACATCCCTTTTAAAAATAAGAGGATTGAAGTATTAAGATTTTAACCTCTAGTAAGACAGCTTTGTTCTTGACTTCCCCTCTCATTTCTAAGCTGTCTGGCACCAGAACTGCAAATACCTTATGTGCAAAGCTATCTCAATAAAATGCCCTTAGACTTCCTATAACAGGTACCTAATAATACATGTGGCCAGGCTCTCAGAGGTTCCCTCTTTTCCAGAGGTGAGTATGACTACAGATTTTAAGATGTATGTCACATAGGATAAATAAGCAAAATTCCTTAAAACTAGAACCATTCTCTTCTCCTTTTTGTACCTTCCATGGCACTTGGGTTATGAAGGGAGCAAAAGTTTAATACATATTCTTCACAGTCTCCTTTGCATAACAACCATCTAGTCAGCAAAGAATACTATGTACTTTGGAGGCATATGTGATATTCATCAAATGGTAATGAACTATTGCGCAAATTTCAAGTATGGATGTTCAAATTAAAATGACACACTTATAAACTGTCAACCCAACCCATGTAAACATAACAGTAACTATCTGGAAGTTTGTGGTGCTTCAAGTGATATGAATGGCACTCAGACTGCAAATTAGTTTAGAGTTTAAAAGACAGTACAACTTTGCCAGTTAATGAAGGAAATGCATGCAATGAATTAACCACAAAGAGAAAGGCGTTAAGTGCTCTCAGACTAGATTCCCGTATCACCATTATAAGTTAAAGAAAGTTAATGCAACGGACACTGGTCAATGTTACAGTATGGAAAGTGAGCTAAAACATGCACATGCCAAACAAAATTTCCTTACCTCATCTGCCATGAGTCGCTTCAAAGTCTAGGAAACACGAAAAGGAGGGAGAAGAAAGATCAATGAAATGCTAAGAAACTTTTGAGGGAAAAAAAAAAGGAAAAGAAAATAAATGACCAAGCTGTTCCTACAAACTGAAAGGTTTCTGTCTATTATTGTTTAGCATATTCCTTCAGGTAAGGGAGAGGACAAGTTGTAAGGACACTAGCCTAAGACTCAAAAACAAAAATAAAAACAATAATAATGATAAACAGCTAGGAATTGAACAGACTGTAAATTCAATGACTGAAAACCTTTTGAAATGTGCACAACTTCATTAAGCAGATAAAGAAATGAGAGTTAAAATCACAATGAGATATAATTTTGCATTCTGAAATTTGGCAAAATCTACCAGGTCTCTCTGGCTGTAGAGCAACAGAAGTTCTTGCAAACTGCTGCGGTCAGTTAAGAAAACAAAATGGCATTACCTAGGTGAGGTTAAATGTGCATATACACTAAACTCAACGCATCAATTTCCACATATCTGCCCTGCTAAATGTGCACAAATGTAGCAGGATATGTGACCTGAGTGCTCACAGCCATGCTACATCAACAAAAACAGAACAATCCAGACAGCCATCAAATGCAGAATGGAAAAATAAACTAGTACATTGATATAATGGAAAATATTATGCAAATAAAGTGAATAATTTTGTAACTACTCAAAAAGAATAATACCAAGATATTATTTCATATATATTAAGGTTAAAAACATGTAGGCCAGTATTACATTATTTATGATGCAAAATTATAAAGGGAATGATTACCACAAATGTCCAAACAGTGCTTACTCGGGATGAGTGAAAAAACAGTGAAGGAGGAGGGGACAATGTCACATTTGAAGTGCTTCTTGACATGGGTGGCAAGTGCATGGGCAGTTTATAATTACTGTGTTTTACATTATCTTCTTTATATAAATAACATTAAGCCTCAATAAGCAGGTCCAGAAGTTGGAATTTTTTTTTTTACCTGCTAAATTTTAAAACATATTTCTCTTTTATGTTCACAGAAAAGTATAATAAATAGCTGCTGACTAACCATTCTCAGCTAATGAAAAACTAGTTCTGCCTCTTCTGTGAAGCTATTTTTCTAGTCATTTTATGGACAGGGAAAAATCTGCATAGTTACATTAGAAGTTCCTCCTATCACAATTCAGTTGAATCCAGTATAAACTGTGAATCTTTGCTTTTTTTTCCCAATCCTCCATGGCCCTAAAGAGGACAAGCTTCTATTGGAGTTGGCCTTGAAATCACTGACTTATAATGGTCTTTTTTTTTTTTCTTTTTCTTTTTTATCGGTACTGGGGATCGAACTCAGGACCACACACTTGCAAGGCAGGCGCTTATGCCCGGAGCTAAATCCCCAGGCCTTATAATGGTCTTTTGATTGTCTGCCTCATCCACTCCTTTCAGGACTAAATTCCTGAGGTCACATCCTGAGACAGTCATTCTTACTACCTATGAACAGACACAACAATCTGAGGCAGCTTTCCAAAAATGCTAATCCCTGAATGTACATTCCCAGAGCAGCCCTCAAAGTCTTTCATACCCAACTCTTCATTGTTTCAATGAAGAAACTGACACCCAGACAGGTGAAGTAAATCATAAGGTCACATGAATAGCAGCTAAGTGGGGTATAGAACTCAAGTCTCCACATTCAAAAGCCCAAAAATCTGAAATTCCCCAGATTTTTCTGCATTGCTCCTATTTCATGCCACTAATTCTTGATTCTAGATAAGAATAATAAAGATATATTTTCATTAGAAGGAAGATACCAGTTTTTCTTGCACTCATGGAATATCATTAGAGATATTCTGTATTTGATCCTTTTTTAAAAATTATCCATGTAGGGGCTGGGGATTTAGCTCAGCGGCATAAGCACCTGCCTTGCAAGCAGGCAGTCGTGAGTTCAATCTCCGGTACTGATAAAAAGGAAAAAGACAAAAAAAAAAAAAAATTATCCATGTATTAGTATTGTTTGGAGTCAGAACTGCCAAAGATCCATGCAGAATAAAACCTGCATTTTCTGAATTAGTCCAACAGAGGGCAGCAACAACCAACAGTAAATCAAAGTACTGGCAAAAAGTTGTTTCAGAATCTAATAAAACACCCAAAAACAGCAAACTCAATTACTGAAATGGAAACCTGCTGCCATAGTATATTTAAGGGTTATAGTTTACTTACTTAATATTATTTACATTTTCTTAAAGACTATATATATTAGATGCATATAAGTAAATATTGAGTATATATAAAATATATATATTGAGTATATAAATAAAGTGGCTTTCTATTCAGGATTTTTAAAAATTGTATTATTACCTTATTAACATAGCTCACTTCCTGTCCCTCCCATGGAGTCTTCCACTAAATACTATCACTAAAACCTTTAACAAATCTGGACACTGAATTATATTTTTTAAAACATCAAAATCTGGCTCATCGATAAAGAGTAAATTCACAGAAAAATTAGTTAATTTTTTAAGACACAAATAATGGGTGGAAAGAGCCTACAAGATCAGGAAGAACAAAAAAAAGAGGAACTACAAGTTCAATCTGAAGCTGAGGCATTAAAAGGACTAGTTATTTAACCTAAGACACTGAAAAAAGATCTTAAGAAAGAATAATAGGGGCTGGGGATTTAGCTCAGCGGCATAAGCGCCTGCCTTGCAAGCAGGCAGTCGTGAGTTTGATCCCCGGTACCGATAAAAAGACAAAAAAAAAAAAAAAGGAAGAATAATAACTGGCCCAAATTATTATACTGAAGGACCCTTCACAAGGCTCAGTAATTACTGACGTCAAATACCTAAGGAAATGAGGGACAGAGGGAATGGGAAGCTAGTAAGAAAGGAAAAAGCTGCTGAAGTAGACATTCCCTAACTCCCACCATGCCATTAGAAATGGCCCTGTCTTCCTCCAGCAAGAAGTCTAAAAATTTATTCTCAGAAAAAGTTAAAACAGCCAGGAATTTAGCTCAGCAGCATAAGTGCCTGCCTGACAAGTGTGAGGTTGTGAGTTTGTCCCAGATACAAAAAAAAGGAAGAGAGAAAAAAAGAAAAGGTTAAAACAGAAGGTCTCTGGATTGACACAGTTGTGAGAAAGGAACCTACATAAAAAAGGTAAGTAAACGCATCTCTATTCTGTACTGAAACATCTAGTACTTCCCCCTCCAGTGTCTCAGACTCTGGCACTAGTCTTGTGACAAAAAGGTTGGAAGAATCTTCTCTAGGGAATTAAAAAATGACTCAACACTACATAGTCTAAGTAGATCATTCTAACTCAACTGTTCAATATGGTAGCCACTAGCCATATGTAACTACTGAACACTTTTAATATGATTAGTGCACGTGAGAAAGAGATGTAATTTTAACTATTTATTTTTTAAATTTTTTGGTTCTGGGGCTCAAACTCAAGACTTTGCGTCTTCCAGGCAAGTGCTTGTGCCGCTGCACTAAATTCCTGGCCCTGACGTTTTTAATTTAAAAACTAATTGTTTTGGTCTTTTTGTGTTGGGCGCAGGCGCTCAACATACCATACCCCACCCGGGACTAAGGACCACGCCAGCTTCCGCAATGCGCTACGTCCCTCTTTAAATTAGCCAACCCGTGGGCACTTCGTGCTCACTCCTACTCTGTGGCAACTCCTGATTGGCCACAGCTGGATATAGTAGCCAGAGCCTGCGTCCCATTCCCGCCCTGCTTCCTCGTGGCAACCTGTGATTGGTCACAGCCAAATATATAAACCAGAGCCCGCGTGAATAAAGCAGCAGTTAACTGTTGCCCACAAGAGCCTCTCCTGTTTCATTGGGGCTGCGCCGGTCATTTTTGAAACAGGGCTTCACTATACAATTCACAATGACTTTGAACTAACTTTGTAGCCTGGGCTGGCCTCAAACTCACAGTTATCCTCCTGTCTTAGCTCCCAAGTTCTGGTATTACAGGCATGCACCACACCATGCCTGGCTTAAAAACTAGTATTTTATCATTAGTGTTAAATTTAAGTATGTCAAGAACACCTTAAGTATGTGAATCTACTTCTGCATTGGTAGACATTATGGAAACTACAGATCAAGTATTACAAAAATTTAGCATCTAGACTGGGAATAGAGAATCTGTCTAACTTCATAAATATTTACAAACAAAAAAACGAAAAACCAAAACTCCACAGCTAGGTTTGGTTCCCAACTCAAATTCCCTGTCCTACCCAATGCTGTAATAAAGATGTTCACTCTGACTACTCCTTTTTAATTTTTCTAGCTAATGAACTAAGAAAAGGAAATAGACATAGAGATTGAAAACAAAATTATCTTTGCTTACGGATGACATAATTGTCTATGTAGAAAATATGACAGAAACATAAAAACTAGAATAAGCAGTTATATAAAAGATGCGGGACATGAGGATAACATACAAAAATCAATCATTCCTTTCAAATAGGTCACAGAGGCACGACTTTGAGGACTGCATCTTATCCCGCGTCCCTTCTTGCTGGCTCTTTCCTCCTCGGCTTTCTAGCTGGCATGAGGTCAGCAGCTCTGTCCTACCATGCCCGTCTGCACAGATGATTTTGCCTCACTAGGGGCCCAGAAGCAATGGAGCCAACTGACCAGGGACTGATTCAGGTATCTCAGAAATCATGAGCAAAAGTTTTTGTCACAGTGACAAAAACTTAACATAACCATTAATTCTGTATTCCCAAAATGAAATAGTTAGGTATAAATCTAATGAAATATGTACAAGATCTAAAATTATATATAAATTTGCTGAACAAAATCAAGTAACTAGCTTCATATTCAATGGACAAGAAGACTCAATTATGTCAAGACGTTAGTTTTTCCTAGCTTGATCTACAATTATAGTCTCAACTAAAATCTCAGAAAGATTATTTTGTGGAGATCGAAAACTGTAAAGGCAAAAGACTCATCACACTCAACACGATATTGAAGAAGAAAAATGAAGTTGGAGCACTGGTACGATAGGACCTTAAGAA